GGAGTTAGAGGTGGTGGGTCCATGCGCTTGCCTCAGAGGTGTACAGAGTTTTCACTGTTTTTTGCCATCTGTGGTGTGCTATGTGGCATTCCCAGGGACTTCTTGGCACATGCTGGGCTGTGTGGCTGCTCTGTTGGGGGTGGTGTCTGGCTTTCCATCCAGGTATATCACTGGGTCATCCATCAGTGTGTGTGTGTGTGTGTGTGTGTGTGTCTGTCTGTCTGTCTGCCAGCTGCCTGGGGCCCTCTCTGCAGCTATGTATCTGTCTCAGTAACTACAGTGCATTTGAGGATGTGTGTTCTGGGGCAGGTGGATTTTCTGGGTTGGTTTAGTGTCATTATCTTGGGGCTGTGTGAATGAGTCTGTGACACACACTTCCCTGCAGGCTGGTAGAATGTGTTCTGGGGCGTGGAGTGGGCCCAAGCTGTCTTTGCTTGAGCCCTGTCATCTGAGGTGAGAAAGGCACAAAGGAGTTGAGATAAAAATTTCCCGTTCAGGGAGGAACTGCCTGGCGTTTTGGCCAGGGGGCATTAGGGCCCACTCTTCCACACCAGACAGCCTGGACAAGACTCTGCTCCTCCTTGCATAAGCAGCCAGAGAGGGCAAGGACCTGCCAGTAGCCACAGAGCAAGTAGCTTCAGGGACCTGGGTCTCCCGGCTCAGTGGAGTTCCTGCCCCATCGCCCCCTCCTCAGCTGCCTCTCCCATCCTGCAAGGCTCTCAGCTTGGAAGGGGACCGCTGCATTTTGTGCTGATGCCTGGATCTGGGGGCTCTGAGCTGGGGAAGGGGACAGGGGATTGGCTCAGAAGCTGGACCCAGGGCTGGGCCTTCTGGCTGCGAGGTGAGACCCAAGGGTGGGCAAGACCCCCCCTTTGCACCCTCCTTCTGGGTGTGCGGACAGTGGAGCCCAGGGCACCCCTCCCGTGTGAAGTGCGGAACCATGAGCCGTGGGTGTGCTGACCCGTGGGTGTGGGTTTGGGGGGTGCTTTACCATGTGTGTCTGTCGGCTGTATACGTGGAGACCTGAACGGCTTGATGCTGCAGACATGGTTTCCATCACATTGGGTATTGGTTAGTTGGCCCTTTGGGCTCCTATGGGTGTCATTTGTCACACAGTGTTGTCAGTGGGTCTCGGTTCTGAGGGGCTGGAGGAAATGTGTAATGGTGCACGTTGCTGGCTTTTGCTGGGGTGACCGAATTTGTGTCTTGGGCAGCCTGTGCCTGGCGTGCCTACCTTGGTGGCCCTGTGGGGCACTCTGGCGTGCCTGTGTCCCGTGGTATGGCTGGGTGTCCGATGAGTGGGTGTTTGTGGGACGTGTTGTCTGCCACAGGCGTCTGAGAGGGCACGAGCACGTGTGCTTGCACACACACAAGGACACACGACGCTGCTCTGGTCAGCTCTGATAGAGCTGAGCACGGATACGGAGAGGGACCTGGGGATGTGAAGGGGACAGGCAGGTAGGTGCAGAGAGATGTGGACATGGGCTCAGCCAGGGTCGGGCCGGTGGAGGACTCGAAGAGTACGGAGCTGGAGCAGGGGCCAGGGGTTGGAAAGGGGAGACCCCAAAGACTGCCTATCTGGGGGCAGCAGAGAGGGCTCAGCTGGAGAGAGGCTGCCCTTCCCTGCCAGCCCCTCCCTAGTGTCACTGGTACAGGAAACTGGCCCTTCCCACCTCTGACCCCTGATGCCGACCCTGAGGGAGTTTTGCCCAGGTGGGTAGAGGGTCAGGCAGGGAGCAGTGACCCAGGCTCCTCTCTCATGTTTGGATAGGCTGGGGACTAGACACCAGCAGGGCATGTCTGGAGATGGCAACCAGGCTGTTAAAGATGCCTCAGGCTAGCGGCTGCTCCTCAGAGCCCTGCAGCCAGGGGAGGACTGGATGCCACTCAGGTTGCTGAGCCTAGCATGACCCACAGCCTGGCATCCTGACCCCAGGCCACTCCCTACCTCCTGTCCCCAGGGTTTGCCTTCCCGGATTGGGCCTACAAGCCGGAGTCGTCCCCTGGCTCGAGGCAGATCCAGCTGTGGCACTTTATCCTGGAGCTGCTGCAGAAGGAAGAGTACCAGGGCGTCATCGCCTGGCAGGGGGACTACGGGGAATTCGTCATCAAGGACCCCGATGAGGTGGCCCGGCTCTGGGGCATCCGCAAGTGCAAGCCCCACATGAATTATGACAAGCTGAGCCGGGCCCTGCGGTGAGGAGGGGGCTGCAGGCCTGGACTCCCACCTTCTCCCCTCGCTGTCCTTTTGGTCCCCCCACCTGCAGGGAGCTTCCCCTTCACAACCTGGGACAAATCCTGTTGGATCCCAAAGCACGGGGCTCTGTACTGTAGCCACCATAATTACTTGTGAGTGGAAGAGAGAGAAAAAAGGACCTGAGCCCTGGGCTTTGGAGCCATGTAGGGTAGGATTTCGGCTCCTACCTTCCCTTCCCTTCCTTGCCCTGTGACCCTCGGTTAAGAGACTTCTGTGAATCTGTTTTCCTAAACAGCTGGCGCAGGGAATGTTCTATCTAGAACGCCTAGGGTTCTCCTTTCCCTTCCCCCAGACCCCGAAACCTCTCTCCCCACAGTTACTACTACAACAAGCGCATTCTCCACAAGACCAAAGGGAAGAGGTTCACCTACAAGTTCAACTTCAGCAAAGTCGTGCTTGTCAATTACCCACTGTTGGATGTGGCGGCCGCTGCTACTGGCTCCCCACTCTTGCTGACCCCTGGTCCCTTTGGGGGTGCCCCTGGACCAGATGTTCCTCCCCTCACCCCCGAGGTGAGTTTGCATCTTTGGGTCCCAGAACTGGAGCTGGGGCATCTCACACCCCCGTGCCATGAGATGTCCAGGAAGGGGGTGTGAGCAGCATTGCCTCCCTCGTCCCCCTCTCCAGACCCTGCAGACCTTGTTCTCCACCCCACGCCTTGGAGAGCCAGGGGCCCGGACGCCCCTGTTCACCCCTGAGACGGACAAACTTCGTCTGGACAGCCCCTTCCCGTTCCTGGGCTCTGGTAAGGGCCTGAGGGTCCCAGGGGTAACAAGGGATGTTGGGAGAACAAGAAGACTGCAGGAGACAGGCTGGAGGGAGAAAGCCTGGGGCCAGGCTCTGTGTGCATTTTCACCGTGTGCCCCTGTTTAAAAGCTAGTGGATGTGTGGAGGGGGAGGAAGGTAAGGTGGACAGGCTGGGAGAAGGGCTACAGGGGCCCTAAAGGAAAGGAGAGCTGAGGGGGAGCAGGGAAGACTCTCCCGGTGAGGGTGACGGGGAGAATGGAGTGGAACAGAGAAGGCAGCCCCTTTAACAACCAACCCCACGCAGGCAGGCCCCACGGTCTCGACCCAGCCTGACCCAGCCGTCTCCCCCACCCCCTAGGTGCCACTGGCTATTCCAAGCCCCCTGGCCTGCTGGGTCCTTACAGCCGCGCCTTCCCTGAGTGTCCCTGGAACTTTAACCCATACTTCACGGGCCCCTTCCCCAAGCTGCCCCCATCTCTCTACCCCCCGCACTTCTATCCCAACCCTCTGGCCAGTTCCCTGGGCCACCTGCCCTCTGCAGGGGCTGGGGGAGGCCCCACAGCTGCACCCCTGCTGGCTGCGACCGGGGAGAGCCTGGGCCCCGAGCGCCCTTCAGGCCTGGCAGCGGCGCCTCGTCTGGCACTGCCAGGGGCGGGGGGTCCGGAGCCTACACTGGGTGGCAAGGACGACAGCGACTCAGAGCTGGAGATGGCAGCGGGCAGCGGCGCCTCGTCTGGCACTGCCAGGGGCGGGGGGTCCGGAGCCTACACTGGGTGGCAAGGACGACAGCGACTCAGAGCTGGAGATTACCGACGTCAGCGCCTGCAGCTCTGACAGTGAGGGCGATGAGGGCCTCCCAGTACCCCCCAAGGCCAAGGTGGGCAAAGGGGGCACCGGCAGCTGAGCAAACGTGGGGCGGCAGCGGCGCCTCGTCTGGCACTGCCAGGGGCGGGGGGTCCGGAGCCTACACTGGGTGGCAAGGACGACAGCGACTCAGAGCTGGAGATTACCGACGTCAGCGCCTGCAGCTCTGACAGTGAGGGCGATGAGGGCCTCCCAGTACCCCCCAAGGCCAAGGTGGGCAAAGGGGGCACCGGCAGCTGAGCAAACGTGGGGCAATGAATTCTGCCAAGGCGGGGACCAGGAGGGCCACCGTCGGAGCCTCACCCAATCCAGTCTGCCCTCCATGCCAGCCCAAGGCCCAGGACCAGCCCTTGGCACCCTTCCCCAGCCCCACACTGGGGGTCTCACCTCTCGTTCCAGTGGGGAAGGAACCTGAAGGCCTCAGGCTCCTCCCCAGGCTCCAGTTTGAGGGGCCCCCGCCTGGCCCTACTCCCAAAGTGCAATATGGCGCTCAGCCTCCCCTGCTCCCCGCCCCGTTGCTGTGACCTGTGTTTGTGTGGCCGTGTGTCTGACCCTGTGACGGCCCCATCCCGATACCCTCCCTCGAAGG